CGTTTTACTATTAATATCCGGATAATTATCTGATAACCCGTCGGATTATCCGGATATCCGAACGATTTGGATTATCCAGATAATCAGATACGGATAAACAGATGACGGATTTATCCGGATTGGAACTCTAATGAAAAATGTTTCTTGTAAAATTTTACTTGTAAACGTTACATTATCCTAGTACTAACCCTAACTATAACACGGTTTTCTTAACTTTAATTTTGCACGTCAAAAACACGTTTGTTTTGACTATCATGTTACACCTGATCCTGACCTAAAATGCTCATAATGACAAGTATAAGTCTGCATACATATCACGAGCCAGATAAATAAGAATACAGTATATTTAACTCTTCAGATAACCATACACTCCGTTCCTGGTATTTGAGTAACCAGCTTAATGATAGTGCCAGTTCAAAGTCTTTCGAAAAAAATGAATACACCTCCGTCGAACGTTGAAATATTACGTAGGTTACTGGTTCATTCTGATGGCCGTGATAAAGTCTTAAAAATCATCCAATACTTGGGAAAAATTTATCTTTGCATTTATGATCGTAAGGTCTCCAAAGTTAATTATAATATTTTTTATCTATGTTATCGAAAAAAATCTTTCCCTCAATTAAAAGCAATGATCTCACAATTTAGCACAACACGTAAAATAATTCGTTTAGCTCATTTTCTAGAACCTTGTTTAGATTTACTTGAACATTATAAACTAGTACACGTAAAATCCCTTGGTTAGGAATTATCAATGCATTGGTTGGTTTAGTAAATGATATATCCAATAGTTTTTATTGTCTTGGTAAAATTGAAGTTTTAGATAAATCATTTGCAAAATTGGCAGAGCCCATTGCGATTAAATCTTGGTTTGTCTGTATTTGTTTGGATATTTACGAAATCTTATTCAAAATTTGTCAAACGATTGAAGAGGCCAATTCAGAGGCCAATTCAGAGGCAAATTCAGAGGAAAATTCAGAGGCAAATCAGAGGCTAATTCACAGGTTATATTGGTTAAAAGTTAGTTTAGCTAAAATTATTATGGACTTTTTGTTTTGCGGTACGTATTTGTTAAACTTTTTATTGACATTTTTAAACAAAACTAAAAACGTTAATTGTCAACCTTTTTACTATTAAAGGGTATGATTTATTTGGATTTACTTTTTCAGATGGCGTGCAAGCATTTTTTGGAGTTCTTTCTGGATTTCTAAGTAAGTTTATATCTTTATTCCGGTTCGTGTAAGATTTACTGTTGCTTTTAACCGGTTTTTTTCTTTATTAATAAATTTCATTTTTATTCATTAGGTTTTTATAAGCTTTGGGAAAAGGAACGCAAAGGATTATGAGTTTTTCATAAATAATATATACATACCATTTATAGATACAGTCGCACTCCCATATAATCCATATATAGGGACTATTTTTATACATTTAATAGTAGTTGGTTCAAAAAATCAATGAGCTTATATAGGTGATGCTAAGGCGATGTGCTTATATAGGAGTACTTATCTGGGAATGTGACTGTAATACGTACACTTTATGAAATTTGATTAATCTATTCTGATGGGAAATGTAAATTATTAATTAAGATATAATTATTAGGGTTTCTCCAATATAGCGATGTAGACTTAAAACAACATAATCGTTATAAAATCTAAAATAAATTATGTCGTAATATATTTAATTATTAAATTTATTACCGTTACGTTTTTACAGAATTATTTTTAACTTTAACGTTTCTTTTGTGGTACACCTGATCTTGAAATTTGATTGGGCAGTTAATATTTTTGGTTTTTAAAGATTCTTTATCTATGATTATTACTAAAAAAGGGGGTCGTCTAAAGCCGGTCCATCACGTGACCTAAAGAACAGGTGAGACCGTCCCAAATTAGGAAATAATTATCTGAGTCACCCGATTTTTTTTTTATACGTTTTACAATACTC